CCCCTCAGCCCCCTGGGGGGTCAGCCCAACCATTTGTACAATTTCGAATCCCCACCACCTAGGGATGCTTCCAGTCAAATATGGTTGATATCCACTTCTAAGTTCCAGAGAAGAAGTCGCTTAAAGCAATATAGCCAAATTGACCCCTTTTGGCCCCGCCCCTCAGCCCCCTGGGGGGTCAGCAACACCATTTGTACAATTTTGAATCCCCACCACCTAGGGATGCTTCCAGTCAAATTTAGTTGAATTACAATCAGTGGTTAAGAAGAAGAAGCCGTTTAAAGTAATTGTTGACGTACGGCCGGACGGCCGGACGGGCGCAACGGTATGGCATAAGCTCACCTCGGTCCTTCGGACCAGGTGAGCTAATAATAAATGGAGTGAAACCAATAAGTCCCCCACTTTGTTTGGGGGACTTAATAATAAGGAACGTAGCAAAAACAATATGTTCCCAAACTTTGTTTGGATGACATAATTGTAGTGAAACTGGAAATTTTGACCCTCCCCTCAAACCCGGTATCTATAATTAACAAACGTATTTTTTTTTTTATCTCTCCCCAATTTCTAGTAACTATTGTTTCTTGGGTCTCAGTTCTCAGGAACTTTGCCTCTCACACTGGTTCTTATAACCATAGTTACTCCACATCAAGGATGTTTTTCTCTATCCCTGCCCCTGTAACTACATTTATCTGACTTCCAGTAACTTTGATATCTCCCTTTTGACCTTGTAACATTAGTTACCTTACTCCCAGAAACACTTTTTTTATCTCCCTTTTCACCTTGTTACCACAGTTACCTGACTCCCAGGAGAGCTTTAACATCTCCCATTTGACCTCGTAACCATAGTACCCCGACTCCCAGGAGAGCTTTAACATCTCCCATTTGAACTCGTAACCATAGTTACCTGACTCCCAGAAACTTTAATATCTCTCACTATTATTATTGCAATCATAGTTACCTGACTCCGAGGAACTTTGGTCTCTCTCCTGGAGCAGTACATTCTGATTCCTGCTTCAAACTCATCACATGGTTGATAGAGAGGACGGTGGCTGCTACGAACCAAGGGAGCCCCAACAGGGAGCAAACCATGATCAACAGAGCTACGATGAACAGGTCAAGGTGGTAGCCCTTCCCTTTCTGAAACCAACAAAAGCACATTTTCAGAGGTTACGAACGTGTCAGTAAAACAGGTCCAATGGGCCTAAAATCTCCCTCATATTGTTTTGTCTATCATCTCATGAAGTAGACGTTTAGAGTTCACTCTATCTACTAGCAAGCTCAGGGAAGTTTTTAATTATTTCTTGAATGCTTTGAAATGGGAAAACTGCATTTTACTTCACCGGCCAAAGCAGTAAGACAAGGTAGTCTATAGCATACTTAGGAGAGAGACCCCCGATTTTGGACCCTTAAAATTAGTAGTTTAAACCAGAGAATTTTCTTAACTACTCCTTTATTCTAAGATCTAATGATCTCATCTGAGAAAACAACTCAAACTATGTCATTGTAAAGGGTTATTTTGACTCTAGGGGATATATACACACGTTGTATTTATGTGTTAATTTTGAGCATGCATCATCACCCTCATAGAAATTTCAGGAAGTATGCCATAGCGTCAATACCTTTCTACACAAACGCTGTGTAGGGATTGCCTCCCTTTGCTCATACTGATTTAAACATGCTGGGGTTTAACAATGCATATGTTCATATCATTCCCATCAAATATATCAAATCTTAAAAGACTTTGTTGAAAATTGTTTAACCAGTTGCAGTCACAAGTTTCTAACATGCTGGTGGATTATTAAAGGTGAAAACTGTCAAAATATATAACCCAATATTCCTTTTCTGAACAAATGCATGCACATATGATTCCTATCACACACAAAATCTCAAAATATTCGGCAGAAATCTGGGACAGAGGGAATTATAAAAGATATATGAGCGGCATGATGCCATTATACACTCAATTTTTGGCAGGTCTATGTTTTCAAGTATATTAATAGGAAAGTATTGACATAATGACATACCATCATCGGGTCAATTTCTTTCATAACTATCTGTGAAGGTACGAGATTGAACCTCTATTTTTTATACCCTGATGATTATATAGAATTTATTGAACAATTCTTAAATATATCAATTTTCTCCATTAACAATTTAGAGTTATCTACCTTTAGCTTGTTCTCCTTTCTGTTGACAATGACAGCGGTAATCTGCTGGTCCATGAAAATCAGAATGGTTGCCAACAGTGACGGAACGATAGCAGCAATAATAGTCCACCAGGGATTCTTACCGACAGGATTAATCACCCATGCTCGACCTGGCTTGGTGGGCTAAACACAAAAACATTAAAACATTCAACCGTACTGGCCCTTTATGGTACGTAAAACACAAAAGTATAAAATGGAAGACCAATCCGTGCCCTTATAGTTGAATACTGTTCATGTTGAAGTGGATATATTCGTGTGGCAATGTTTGCATTGTGACTCTGTAAACTGATCGTGATGCAGAAATGTTCCCTTTGGTAATGATTTTAAAACCTCTTCATTCTGTTTGCACCTATGATCTATATGATGTATAATTTAACATTCGTTTGTAAGTCTGATTGTGCACATTTGCTTAATGCTAAAAACAAGCATTTCCACACTGCCGAAATTTGCACTTTTACTGTATAATATGGCTGTATACTGCTGTATATTTTCACTGCAGTTAAAAATAAATTAAAAAAGGGTGAATTTATCACAACAGTTAAAATAAGTACACAGTATACTATACATAGTAATAACATCTGAAGGGCGAAGTTAACACTGCGCGAAAACAGACCTTACCAGTTAATGGCAAATATCTGACAGCGCAAGGTTCCCCAGTAAACAGTATCCAAACCAAAAACTGAGATCAAAAGGAGATCAGCTGACAAAGATCTGAATAGACAGTATCTGGAATAGGGTCGGAACAATCTACCAACACAGCTGACAAAGATCTGAATAGATAGTATCTGGAATAGGGACGGAACAATCTACCAACACAGCTGACAAAGATCTGAATAGATAGTATCTGGAATAGGGACGGAACAATCTACCAACACAGCACTACATTTAGGGCTAGTTAGGAAAGTATCGAAGTGAATGCTTTCTCTGCCTATTAGTTGGCGAACTACAAAATGGCGTCACAACGGTATGAATGAAAATGCTAGGGGTCGCTGCCAAAAACATTTGCATATGAATTAAATGTGAATGAATGAAATCCATATAAGGAGATATCAGCTACCATATAAGGACCGAAAGACTATATAAAGTCATAGGTGGCGTAAGTATCTACTGTGCAATTCCATGTTTAGGAAATTTCGTAGCATGCGCATGTGTCAAAAATTATGATATTACCCACAATTCAAAAGTATGCATGTCATTACTAAAAATTTATTTCAAAAGTATACATGTTTTTAGCTTTGAAAGAAAATGGATTCTGAAAGGCGATATGTTTCTATAAGAGTGATAATTTTGCTATAATACAAATATATTAAAGCATGATTACTTTTCATTTTGACCTAATAACACTTGTGAAAATATACATATTGCGCATTCTTTAAAATTGAACAAGATGTAGGATATAGACTTACAGCAAAGTTGTCGGGGACTTCCAGTTTTGGTGTTCCTAATCCAAAGCCGGCATCTATCGCCACCATAGACATGATAGCAATCAGAACAGCGAAGTCACTGATTATACTTCGTACCTGTAAGCAAAGTCACTGATTATACTCCGTACCTGTAAGCAAAGTCACCGATTATACTTCGTACCTGTAAGCAAAGTCACTGATTATACTTCGTACCTGGAAGCAAATTCAAATCGTTCAGCAGAAGAAACAATATATGCTTGATGTTATGGACCTCTGTTAGTTACAGTGATGGCAATAGGATCCAAGGTTCAGGGTTCGAATCCTGGCCCCATATTCATGAAACCGTACTAGTGCTCAAATGTGGATTTTGTGCTCAAGCTGACTTTCTTGTTACTTGCTTCAATTACGTTACACAGTAAAAAGTCAAGTGTAAACATTAGAAAAATAAATCGGCCTTAGTCTCTCAAAACATTCTTCCAAATCATTAACAAAATGTGAATTTATATGAATTGATCATGGGAATAACAAATTTGACTTGAGCACAGAATTTGAGTTTGAGCATGAGAACAGTCTTATGAATACAGACCCAGGTCTGGCCCCATAGCATTTTTACATGGACAACACTGTTGCTGAGTTTTGCTATTTCATCTTTATTATTTTTTCATAAAAATTAATACAAGATTAATAAAATCTTTTACCTGTAACTGCGAGATCGGGTTATCTCAGTCGAGGGTTAAGATTCTGTAACAAAATCCCAACCAAGGCATAAGCCGAGGTTGGGATGTTACAGAATCTTAGCCTGAGATCTCGCTCAGTTACAGGTAATTGATTTTTTTCTCTCGCACCTTTTAGTTTGAAAAGAACTATTCAGTTTTAATAAAAAACTATCCAGCCTTGGGCCTCAAATGATAATGACCTCTTCACTACTAAAGCTACATTTGAATGCTTCCGCGTAAAAATGTAGTCCGTCCTCGCATAGATTACAACGTATTTCACAGTGTAGATTATATTTTATCTACAACATCAAATATCTCACAACATCAAAACTATACATAAAACGACAAAACAGAACATTTATAATGCAAATTGCCAATTTCAAGCAGTTAACGCGCGGATGAATACATCGCAGTGTAAAAATTCTGCGAAATGTCACGTAAAGGTACAAGACAGATCGAACGAGATAGAAAAATCTAGCATGGGGTATAACATGGGATATCTCTGTCTGAGGTGCGAGAAATGTTTGTTTTTTCAGAATTCATTTGACAAGAACAAAATAAGAACATTTATAGTAGGCTATTGGACTTGAAACAAAATAGGTTCATGAGTACTAATTAACCCTTTCACCCCTGATGTCACATTTGAACCTTACCAAATCAAAGACTGGGTAAGTCCAGTTTTAAAATGTAGGGTGAATGAGTTAAAGGGACTTTACTATAACAAGTAAAGTCTTTGTCAGTGTACAAAAGACTGAAATCAATCTTAAGAGACAACTTGCTACCAAAACTTACAAAGCTTGGGAAGAATGCACTGTTTCTCATCGACTTGAGGGAGTAAGCTAGAGTAAAGGTTCCGATGAAGAGGAGAATGGAGAGGAAGAAGACATCAGCTTTGTATTCAATACAACCCTCCCCAACCAGTTTCCCTTCCAGGTCGTTACAGTCCATCTTGGTGAAGTTGGACCATTGCCTGGTCCTGCCCTCAATGGGATACATATAAGTCAGGTTAGTGGCGTTATTGCTGACGAGACAGTCACACGGGTAGAAGAGGTTTGGGTGAAAGTTGATGGGGTACTTGTCTTTGATGTTGATCACTTTGGCAATGGCTTCCTTGATGAAGATCAGCGAGATCAGAAGCGCGAAACTCTCCTCCGTAAATCTTGTGATGTAACGCACAAGAGCGCTGAGATCAAAAGCTGTCATAACAATGAGGATGAGTCCAGTCCACATTCCTATCCAGAACCTCAGTTCCAGGTAGTCTAGCCCCATATCACTGGCAAAATAGCAATACACACAAATTATTTCCCTTCACATTAATGGTAAAACAACAGTTATCCTCCCTTTATACTATCACACATGTTATTGCCATTCAAGGATCCCTGTCCCTATTGCACTGTGGTTTTCCCGCACATACAGTAACTTTTCCTTAATTCCATGTTAGATGTAAGTGTAGCACAGCTGTGCCGGGACACTTCAGTAGCCCAGGTAGCACATTCCATTAGAGCGATAGAATAGCAATCTGAAGGTCAGAGTTTGAATCCTGGTCTAGCCCCCCTGAATTTTGTATATTCCGATCACTGTTGTTGATTATATATATTATGTATTTTTTCAGTTTTCCAAAAAATGCTGCAATGTATCGGTTTTCTTTTCAGAAATGATTCATCAAAGCTATAGTCATGCTGGAAAAGGTCATTTCCAATGCCTTGTTACAGTTTTTGGCAGTGGTATGGGGATCCTTAATGTAATAAGAATACACAACAGTTATCCCCCTTTACATCAACAGTTATCCCCCTTTACATCAACAGTTATCTCCCTCAACAGAAATTTCATATGTTTCCTGCATTTCTGATGCATCTATTCATATTTTTAAGATATAATTAACAGTTATATTTTGAAATGCAAAATTATTCAAGCAGTAACCTATATTACAGCACTATCTGTATATAAATCAAACCTGTCCTCTAGAATCATCTAGTAGGACTGAATCTGCCCAGATTGTCGACACTGTATATATCCCTCGACTGTCAGTATCTGAATTTGAGATATTTTAACTTTCTATCTTCCAGATTTACAGTGTCCACATGCTTGCCAACTCTCCCTATTTTGAACCCTAAAATTTAGCATTTTCAAATAGTGAATTTGTTTAACTATTCCTGTTTTATAAGATCTGATGATTTTATCTGAAAGAACAGCACAAAAGATGTGTGTACAAACACATGTTTGTGGTTTTAATTCGGAGTATGCGTAATCTCCCCCATGGAATATTTAATTCGGAGTATGCGTAATCTCCCCCATGGAATATTCAATTCGGAGTATGCGTAATCTCCCCCATGGAATATTATATTCTGGGTATGCTTAATCTCCCCCATGGAATATTTAATTCTGAGTATGCGTAATTTCCCCCATGGAATATTTAATTCTGAGTATGCCTAATCTCCCCCATGGAATATTTAATTTGGAGTATGCGTAATCTCCCCCATGGAATATTTAATTCTGAGTATGCGTAATCTCCCCCATGGAATATTTAATTCGGAGTATGCCTTATCTCCCCTATGGAATATTTAATTCGGAGTATGCCTAATCTCCCCCATGGAATATTTAATTCGGAGTATCCCTAATTTCCCCCATGGAATATTTAATTCGGAGTATCCCTAATCTTCCCCATGGAATATTTAATTCGGAGTATGCGTAATCCCCCCCATGGAATATTTAATTCTGAGTATGCCTAATCTCCCCCATGGCATATTTAATTCTGAGTATGCCTAATCTCCCCCATGGAATATTTAATTAGCAGTATGCGTAATCTCCCCCATGGAATATTTAATTCGGAGTATGCGTAATCTCCCCCATGGAATATTAAATTTGGCATATGCCTAATCTCCCCCATGGAATATTTAATTTGGAGTATGCCTAATCTCCCCCATGGAATATTTAATTAGGAGTATGCGTAATCTCCCCCATGGAATATTTAATTCTGAGTATGCCTAATCTCCCCCATGGAATATTTAATTCGGAGTATGCCTAATCCCCCCATGGAATATTTAATTCCCCAATGATTTATTATTTTAAGTTGGCAAGTATGTATCCATACAATTGTGTTACAAACTTCTTACACCAGCTTTACTCACTGGCAGAACTGGAATGTGATCGTCTCAAATACCAGTACTGGTCCTGTGCTGCCGAGGATTGTCAGAGGCTGTCCGGCACAGAGGGCATAAACTACACCGCAGATAGCTCCCGCAAGTATACTCTCAAACGCCGCCTGAAATCCAAAATCATACAACAATTACATGAATGAGATCAGTGTCATTCTGATGCTTCTCCTGCCGCCTCACATGACATTAGACCTTCATAGGAACCAAACGCAGCCACATCAGCTTGTTTTTGTATTAACATTTGTACTGATGATACAGACACTTCAATACTGCAAATAGGGGTTTCTAATATTAAGACCACTAATAATAATAAATTTAGAAATAAATATTGGCTTCATTATAATCATATACCATATGTAAAACCAATTTGCATTCATACCAGCATGAAAATTGTAATAAAATCTGTTGTATGGAGCTGTTTGCCATCGTACAGCCATGATAGTGACCTCCCAAGACTGTTTTACCAGTATGGTACCATGGTGCTATATAATTTTTACCACACTCCATCAATAGTTTGTTCTCGAACATATTTATAGTATTAAAAAAGCTACTTTGCTTTAGTACTACATGTAGTAACTCATTCACCCCTGAAATTTCATAATGAATTATTCCATCCTTTGAATTGGAAGAGTTCAAATGTGTCTTCAGGGGTGAATGTATGGTTGCAATCAAACTGCAGTTCAGTGGTAATAACACTTTTAGAATTGTCAGCCTATAGGGATATGTATTGTTTCTGTAGAGCAGCAACATGTCTCAAGCTCTATGGTTACACAAACTCACCATGTTGTTATTTGTGGCGTCACCAAGAAGACCTCCAAACGTGATGATGGGCGTCAGACACGCGAAATATAAGAACACAAATGAGGCTATACACTGTACATGTAGAACGTCCTTGAAGTCACTACCATAGAATGGAACCTTCCTCTTCACATCGTCTATCAGACCTCCAAAAAACCTGCGATCAGAAAATATCTATCAGACCTCCAATTTTATGTAAGGGCTAGTGAAAATACAGTGTTGAATGTTTACAATGAAAAATAGGTCAGACAAGCAGAATTATACAAAGCCTGCCTGTGGGCTAGTACACTAAATATGATCTGATACCCGTAATAGGTTATACAAAGCCTGCCAGTGGGCTAGTACACTAAATAGGATCTGCATACCCGTAATATGTTCTTATTTACACTCTGATATTGCAACAATTCAGTTGGGTGCAGTTTACATAAATATGTCAGAATCGCAATCTCTTGTAAAATTATGTAAATAAAAGATAATGGTCATTTTGAAAAGTGATATTAAATTAAAAGTGATATCAAATTTGTAAAATATTAAATTGAATTTATAATGAAGTAATTTGGTAACCATTTTAAGTAATCAAATTTTGATTAAAATAAGATTTTTTCACATGGGCATGGTCTTGGTCACAGATGAACTTTGACCCCATTATGCATACTGACCTGCCTGTTCGTTGGAGACAGGGGTCATCACCGTGGGATTCCTCTACTTCCTCCTCAAACTCGGCTTTTCCTGATGGGGTCAGACCTGATGGCGCTGTCTTACGACTTGTCTGTAGGGGGAACATATACGTTTAAAGTTCAATCCAAATTAAGACAGCAGGAGACAACAAACGGTTTTAATTAAATCTTAATTTACGCACCATGAGTCCATACAAATTACAAAATATTTAAATTCAAACTAGTTGAAATGTCATACCTGTGATGGAACACTTTGTGGTGGTTCAATACGGATACTGGGATCCCATTCGCCAGGGGGCAGCACCGTCACCTGGTCCAGGAACTCGTCAATACCGGCAAGCAAGTCCTCACGGTTTCTGGCGTGATATGCCACGTCATGGAACACCTATAGAAAATATACAAAAAACATGTCTATTCTATGAAACAAATTCATGTACCACTGAAGAAAAGCATGAGTGTCATTAACTGTGATAAAAATAAGAGGCCCAGAGGGCCTGTATCGCTCACATGTTTCTTTTGTTACATGAAACTGACATATAGGTAACTTTAGACCAAATTTGGTAACAAGAAAACAAGACATTTCAACGGTTCTGAAGATTTTGTTGTTCGAAATTTGAAATCTTAATTTTAAAGATTTAACCTATGTTGACTTTGACTCCGGCTAGCACTTAAAGTTTACCTTTGACCTCATTACTGTAGGAAATAAAACAATTCACACAGCTGGTCTACATAACATACCCAAGTATCATAGTATCATGACTCTAGACCAAATGGTTCTTAAGGTCATCCATGGTACCTATACTAGCCAAATATCATGAACCTGGGTCTAATGGAACTTGAGAAGATTGTTAAACCTTTTAACCCATGTTGACCTTTGACCCCCCGACTAGCACTTAAAGTTGACCTTTGACCTCATTACTGTAATTCAGAAAAAGATTTGCACAGCTGGACTACATAACATACCCAAGTATCATGACTCTAGTCCAAATGGTTCTTAGGATAATATTGTTTAATTTTTTTAACGAATTTGCCGCCTGTGACCTTGAAAGTAGGTCAAAGTCATTTTAATGAGGAAACTTTATAGCACTCCATCTCAGGTACCTACTGGCCAAATAATATGACCCTAGGTCCTCCAGCTCTTCAAAAGGAGTCTTTTAAAGAAAAAGTTGACGGATGAAAACGGACGGGCCGATGCCGCAGTAATGAGGGTTCTAAAGGACATATGCTATATCAGATATTTTACAATGATTATCTCCCTTTGGTAATTCATAATGTCTGAATCCATAAATCTGAATTTACATAGGATGAAATTTGTCAATTTCTTGCAGCAGAACTCTTTAATAAAGGAGCTTATAATACAGTAGGGTACCCTGTAACCTTAAGTAAAAGCTTTTCAAACAGGTCACATAAAACCTGTAATCTAAAAAGATTGTCTGTGAAAGTAGGTTTGATATAAACATACTTCAAATGACGCAGGAAAGATAAAGGACTCACCTCATCTGACATAAGGGTTGCTATTGAGCGACCGATCTCATGGAACTTGTTTTGGTTGCCCTTGGGTCCCAAGAGGAAAAAGATGAACTTGGTAGGAACAGGCACCTCTGTGAGGTCGCCCATCAGTTGAGGATGAAGTAATCGAGTGAAGCCTACGATTGGGTAGTTTAGGAAATCAACCTCACCCACAAGAATATTAGCCGCCTCAGCTTCTTTAGGAATTTTCTTCATGAAATGCATGTTCAGCTGAAATATGGAAAATGTTTCAAACATGCAATTAAAGTTATTTTGACACAGGACATCAATTTAGTTTCTTAATAGATTCAGTTTCTGTCTTCTAATAAAACTCAGTTCTGTAAGGAAAATAAGAACATTATGTTTTCTAGCATTATCTGTGTAACTTGTCAGCTAGACTATTTATGATCGGTCAGCTATGTTGTACTCCACTAATGCATTGTAGCTACATACTTCGTTTAATAAATCAGAGGAAGTAGCTGACCAGAACTACGTCACAGTTACTAACACTTAATCAACATGTACACAAACGGAAACTGTTGAATCATAAGTCATTTACAATCACACATATACAAAACTTAAATTTCAGTAGAAAAATTCCTAAACAGTTTCTTGTGGCTTTCCTTCTAGAATTAGACAAGAGTAAATATTTCATTTGTGAAATTTACTACAAACATACGAAGTAGGATATTCTGAAGATAACACCAAAACAGTTGAAGCTTGAGTAAGAACGGAGTTAAAACAATCAAAAGCAGACCATTCTTCACACTCCTGGTCTCCGAAAGATTCTATTGGCTAATGCTACAAATTAAACATGCTGTGTAAAAAGCAAAACATAGTTACTGTGCACAAACATTATGACTGGTGGAAAGATAGGTTTAACAGTAGACCCTGATACAACTGGTCCTGATAAAAATCTTAACTGCAATATTTCTGATTCATATCCAATGTCCTAGAGATAACTGTTCTTTATAAACAACATTTCTTACATACAATATATCACTGTTACTTATAAACAATGTTACTTATAAGCAATGTTACTTATGAACAATGTTACTTATAAATAATGTTACTGATAAACAATGTTTTTTATTAACAATGTTACTTATAAGCAATGTTACTTATAAACAATGTTACTTATAAACAATGTTTCTGTTTAACAATGCATGGTCATTACAAGCAATGTTACTTATAAGCAATGTTACTTATAAACAATGTTACTTATAGGCAATGTTACTGATGAACAATGTTTTTTTTATTAACAATGGTCATTATAAGCAATGTTACTTATAAGCAATGTTACTTATAAACAATGTTACTTATAAGCAATGTTACTTATAAACAATGTTTCTGTTTAACAATGCATGGTCATTATAAACAATGTTACTGATTAACGATGGTCTTTTTTAAGCAATGTTACTTATAAGCAATGTGTCCAATATATTTATATTTTCTGTTCCTGATATATATATACATTTTCCACATTATATACATTTTGTTTATACTTATAACTTTAATAGAATTTTTCATTTTGTTGACTTCTTTCTGAATAAACACATACATTGTGAATATATATAAAGTTCATTCATAGTGTTTATTGCAGGTAAAACACATTTGTTATTCATCTCCAACCAATAAACATTTCAAAAGTTATTCCATGTCTCAAATTCATTAAATTCAGTCATTAATAGGTGCTAGATACAGTGTGTTATTTTCTACATAATGATTTTTTCTTTGATTTTCCTTTTTTAATACAACGTGCGTATATATGTATATTATATATTTATATATGGTTTATTTTGTATATTATATATATATATGGTTTAGTTTATTTTTATTTTAGTTTATGTGGCTGTAACAAAGGCAAATGATTTCACAGTACACACAATTTATGTAATATAAGATTGCATGCAAAATCTTTTCTCTTGATACAGGCATATACCAAAACTGGAAACCCCGGTTATGTAAACTGTAGATCAAACAGAAGTATGATACAGTCATTATACTGTAGATCAAACAGAAGTATGATACAGTCATTATACTGTAGCGCTCTTTTCTGGCATTGTCAACATTAATAGGATGTTATTATATATTGTGTCATGATGATTTTGCTATCTCTTGAGATTTTACATTACTTTAATTTTTTGAAAGAAAAAAGATGTTTCCTCTGACCTAAAATTTGTAAAAAAAAATCGTGTTCAGATTACTTTCTTGTAGATATGCCAAAAAAGATGCAAGAGTAGATAAAAAGAAGGTTATAAGCATGTCTAAATGATCTATTTGACAAAAATCTAAATATAGTTAATTGGAATAATTTTGATATCATTACATTTGGTGTATCTGTTGATTGGTACAGAATTGCTAAATTAAACACTCCATATATATCCATACCTAGCAGGTAAAAAATGCTATAAATGTTGTAAATCTCTCAAATATTCACAGTGGATAGCCAAAGTGTGGAAGATCAACTTGTATAAACATTGATGCTTATTACTAAAGGACTAGTACCAATCAACAGCTGCATCTCAATATTACAGTTATCTGTTTAACTTTAGCTTCTTTAATGAGAGTCGGAATAACAAAGATATTGTTCAAAACAAACTTAGCCTTTATTCTTCAATAAAACGTGTCAGAAAAATGTAAGACACAGAAATCAGATTTTTATACACAAAATTGAACAACCTATTCAGGGCAAAGTGTCATTCATCAGCAACACCAAATTATCCCAATTTACGATATAGGTATATTGTATACAAATTGAAATACAGTGGTGAAAAAGCGCCAAATATCAGCAATGCCAAGATATCTCGATTTACGATAATTTTGTCGGAGGTGTGTCACCGTATACCTTGGTATGGTTATCATGGTGAGTCGCATGTTCTGACGAACCCGTATACCTCACGTCCAACAACGATCGCTTTGGTTAATAGAGGGCAAAGTAATAAACCAAAATAAATATACACAAACGAAATCACAGAAACTTCTTGAATATGTATGTACATTGAATATCAACACACAAAGATTCTGTATTGCTGAGAGTTAATTTCCCCCACACATTGTACGGTTATTGGTGATACATATACAGTAACATAGAATTACCCCTGTACATACATGCCATAACTTTCCGGTGCAAAATAGTGAGATCAGTCAGTGATTTTGTTTTAGTATGATTTGGTCAAAAATAGTGAGATTTTTTCTCTGGATTAGTGAGAAATTTGTGAAACATTTAAAACAGAAATAATAACAAAGGTATTATGTCATTTGGTCTACTCTGAAGCCTCTTACAAATTTGTTGGAACGAAAATTGGAGATTTATTGATATTTTAAAGAATTTTAGGGCATTTACGCATGACATAAGGTCCAGATAGGCTATCAACATTTAAAAGTAAATATATCACAAAACTTTCATCAAAGTCAAAAAATAATAATAATTAAAAGAAGTCAAAATTTAAAAGGAATATCCATATTAACCCAGGTTAGAAGAAATAATTAATCTTTATTTGTTGAAAAGTAAAACTGAACAACAAATAGGTTTATTTTTTCACACATCCAATTGTGAAGAAAATTGTTTTCTTGTGCTTTTATGTGCTCAATCCCATCCCAACAACGAGAGCATAAATTTGGGATTCATTGTCAGTGTCCCGTTTTGATTTTATAGTCACTACTGAGATTTCTGTTTTGGTAAACATGCTTTTGATTATAATGAACAAACAGCTCTTATGTGACTGTTAAATGTTTATACCCACTGTCATCACATGTTTATTAGCAACTAGCCCTAACTGGTGAGGGATCCCTGATTTAAATGCTTAACAGTTCAGCATCGGAGAGCAATTGCAAGTAACTAAACTATGCGCTGAAGAATCAGCTGCCATTCACAATTTCACAACTATGCTGCTAATTGGCCTGGCCTGTAATTTAAGTGGCTGGCCTGTGACTTTAGACCTCTCAGTGACCAATGTCAGTGTGAATACATGTAGCTATTGTTTATTCACTAAGATTGACCAAACTTTGTTTCTTTTCGTGAGACCAATTGAAATTCATTAGAAATGTGTTCCACGCCATGGGGATTTTTTCTGTAGTAATTTTCGTGAGTATCGCGCTCAAATCTTTAGATATGGCATGTACGCCTGTAACCAGTCGTATCAGACACATGTTATCAACATAAGTGATATGACATCACACCAATAGTATCTGAACGTTTTGTCCTGAATCACACCAACACTCAAAGAGCAAAGCAGACATTGATGGTTATAGTACCACACCATGGTGAACAGTGACATGTGAAGAATGATAATGGGATGATTCGATATTTGATCTTACTGACAACCAAAGTGATGACTTTACTCACGACTACGATGACTATCTTACTGACAACCAAAGTGATGATGACCTTACTCACGACTACGATGATTATCTTACTGACAACCAAAGTGATGATGACCTTACTCACAACTACGATGACTATCTTACTGACAACCAAAGTGATGATGACCTTACTCACGACTAGGATGACTATCTTACTGACAACCAAAGTGATGACCTTACTCACGACTACGATGACTGTCTTACTGACAACCAAAGTGATGATGACCTTACTAACGACTACGATGACTGCCTTACTGACAACCAAAGTGATGATGACCTTACTCACGACTACGATGATTATCTTACTGACAACCAAAGTGATGATGACCTTACTCACAACTATGATGACTATCTTACTGACAACCAAAGTGATGACCTTACTCACGACTACGATGACTATCTTACTGACAACCAAAGTGATGATGACCTTACTCACAACTACGATGACTGTCTTACTGACAACCAAAGTGATGACCTTACTCACGACTACGATGAATATCTTACTGACAACCAAAGTGATGATGTCCTTACTCACGACTACGATGACTGTCTTACTGACAACCAAAGTGATGACCTTCCTCACGACTACGATGACTATCTTACTGAAAACCAAAGTGATGACCTTACTCACGACTAGGGTGACTATCTTACTGACAACCAAGGTGATGACCTTACTCACGACTAGGATGACTATCTTACGGCCAACCAAGGTGATGACCTTACTCACGACTAGGATGACTATCTTACGGCCAACCAAGGTGATGACCTTACTCACGACTAGGATGACTATCTTACGGCCAACCAAGGTGATGACCTTACTCACGACTACGATGACGATCTTACTGACAACCAAAGTGATGATGACCTTACACACAACTACGATGACTGTCTTACTGACAACCAAAGTGATGATCTTACTCACGACTACGATGACTATCTTACAGACCACCAAAGTGATGATGACCTTTCTAACAACTACGATGACTATCTTACTGACAACCAAAGTGAGGATGACCTTTCTCACAACTACGATGACGATCTTACTGACAACCAAAGTGATGACCTTACTTACGACTACGATGACTATCTTACTGACAACCAAAGTGATGACCTTACTCACGACTACGATGACTATCTTACTGACAACCAAAGTGATGACCTTACTCACGACTAGGATGACTATCTTACTGACAACCAAGGTGATGACCTTACTCACGACTACGATGACTATCTTACTGACAACCAAAGTGATGATGACCTTACTCACGACTACGATGACTATTTCAGTGACCTTTCTAAATGGCTTGTGTGGTGGCCCATGTGATGAGCTTAATGAATAAACCTGTTATATGATCTGTAGTGACTGAATTTTGTGATGACTGTTTCCTTAAGTAAATTATCCTAGTTATGACCTCAGTGATGACCTTCATGAATAACTCTTATTATGAACTTGAAGAATGAACCTAATGATGACTCTAGTGAATATTTAAGTGTATGACACTAGTTAATAATCCTAGTGATGACTCTAAAGAATATTTAAGTGTATGACACTAGTTAATAATCCCAGTGATGACCCCTAGTGAAAGTCCTTGTTGAATGGCCTTAATGAATGACTGACCCTAAGGATGACCTTAGTGACCCTACTGATGAGTATTAGGTGACTTAATATCGTGAATAATCCTAGTGAATGACCTTTCTGATGACCTTACTGAATAACCTCAGTAAATGACCCTAGTGATGACCGTAGTGATGACCTTTAAGTTTGCCACACCACACAAAAATCCTGTTAGATTACTCAGCTCTATAAAAGATTTACCTTCCTATAATACCGCTAAAATGTACAGGTATCTAGAAATTATTCACAATGATTCAGAAATTGATACCTGGGCCTAAGAATTAGTTCCTTTGCCCGATTGGCTGATGAAAATTTAAGGCAAAAACTTCTTTGTCAAAAATATGGAAAAAAGAACCAATTACATAATTCCATTTTAAGATAATAAATATGAAAAAAAATACCTATTTTTATTCTTTCATGGTGCATCAAAAATGATCATTGAGACTATACAAGTGAATCAAATGTTTTAAGAGTGAAATATTGCTAACAATTAGCAAGAATCTATGTTTATAATTTTTTTTTTTATGATTACATTTCATTTCAACAATTATTTTTAGTGAAAAAATCAAAAAGATAAGATAGCAGGAGAAGCGTAATAGTTTTCTACCAACCTATATTTACAGTTTTTTCTAACAATTCACTAAATCTCATCTCTCTAAACCATACAAGATCTACTTCAAGTTTTATTTTCAGTTAGATGAAGGGAAGCTATTCTGTCCTAAGGAGGGGAGATAACTGTGAGCTACATACCTTGTGACTGGAGGAGTGCTCCAGGACATCCGAGCTTCCGTTATGGTTCAGGATGGCTGGCTGTGTGGCGTGGTGCTCTATCCGTGGTGTGCTATTGTTGCGTTGTAGATTGTTAAAGTTTGGTGTACTTTTAGCACCTGGTAATCCAACTGAAATTGAATACCACACAAAACACAATTAGTCCAAGGTAGAATTAATTAATTTTATCCTTAGAATTGAGAATTTCAGAAGATACTAAACAGTTTTATACTGATTGGAATTTTTCTCAACAGATGTAATTACGATTACTTAAACACGCCTACTTTTTCTGTATTCCTCTAACAAAACAACTATTCTGTACAACCTGTTACTAAGCAACACTTATATAATTATTTTATCAAGACAGGTTATGATCTGTTTGACAGGTAACTATATAAATATGTATATAATTAGCTGAAATATACAACCATATGACATACTCTATAGCTGATACAACTTAGTCATTTTCTAAAACTACCTGCAGAAGAAACTATTAAAATATTATAAAAATATTATAAAAGAAATATCTACTTATTTATTTACTAGTTCAGATCCCTCGAGCTGACATAACAATATTTGAATTATGTTTTCTTTATTTTATATTTAAAAAAAAAAAAAAATAACAGTTCAGCTCCATGTATAATTACTATAGACAAACTGCTGAAATGTTTATTTTGCTAAAGATCAAATCAAAGATCTGTGACGATAAAAACGCAATTATTCTGTATACATTGAATTAAAAGTAGTTGAACAACCTCAGATTTAAAATTATATCGCAATACATTTATATAATTGCTTCACTTAGTGCAATAACATTTATGCAAACTAGCTAAATTAACTCAGAAAATAACAAGCTATCACAACATAATCCTGATATGCAAACAAATAACAATCTAAATCAATATTCTGCTCTAATGTACAACAAGCACGTTCCCTAGCACTAAGTATTGTTAATGCTAATTATCATACAACAATGTTCCCTAGCACTAAATATTGTTACTGCTAATTATCAAACAACAATGTTCCCTAGCAGTAAATATTGTTACTGCTCATTATCATACAACAATGTTCCCTAGCACTAAATATTGTTACTTCTCATTATCATACAACAATGTTCTCCCGCACTAAATATTGTTAATGCTAATTATCATACAACAATGTTCCCTAGCGCTAAATATTTTTACTTCTCATTATCATACAACAATGTTCCCTAGCACTAAATATTGTTAATGCTAATTATCATACAACAATGTTCCCTAGCACTAAATATTGTTACTGTTCATTATCATACAACAATGTTCCCTAACACTAAATATTGTTACTGCTAATTATCATAGAACAATGTTCCCTAGCACTAAATATTGTTACTCCTAATTATTATACAACAATGTTCCCTAGCACTAAATATTGTTAATGCTAATTATCATACAACAATGTTTCCTAGCACTAAATATTGTTACTCCTAATTATTATACAACAATGTTCCCTAGCACTAAATATTGTTACTGCCCATTATCATACAACAATGTTCAGAAGATCACTAGCGGATTGGTCAGAAACTGAACACGTCATTCTTTGATTGGTCAGACAACTGTATGCAGTAGGTTTAAGGAACAACACTTAAAATATGGCTGCAAGACTTAGGACTTTATGTAGGATTCCAAATGGAGACAAACTCCGGGTTCATCAAGGGGAGATAACTTTTTCCACTCAACATTAAAAACTCATCATGTCATAGGACCACAGCGGGTTCATCATCAGGTCAGATCTTTTAACTTTGGACTATACTTTGGAGAAAGGCCAAATAAAAAAAAAGTGTCTGTATAGAGTTATTCTCCATCTGTTAATTTTAACAGGAAACTCAAAAAAATATTATTGGTATTAAGACAAGCACATGTAAAGTAAGAACAGCCCTACCTTACCTAATTTTATAATTATTCATAACAATTCCACTATCTACGTATGGATGTTTTTAATAGGACCATACCACCTGTGTTAGAAATGTATAACTTCCTGAATATTGCTTGTCCAATATATATATATGAGATAATCTACAATTATTGTGCTAACCATGTTAAAGTGTATATATACATTGTATGATAATTAATTTCAGAGGAATAACTTTCCAATATCCTATATCAGTGTGTTAGTAGTATTGGTGATACTGAAAATCTATTCCAAAGCATAAAAATCTACTTCTGTATAGTTTGCCCCCATAAAATGCATCAGAATTTCCCTTCCTACATCATGCGGCTCAGAAACTAATTCTTAGAATACACATAATTTTCGCCTTGTCATTCTTTGGAGGATTTGGAACACACGATAACTTGTAACAGCATCTGACTTGACGAAACATCGGCCATCTCTGATTTTAGAACCCTATTTCATCTTACCCCTATCACTTTTTATCTCCTTATTTCAAGATCTAAGAAGGGAGATAACCATTTTTGTGCTTTAAAGGGAGTTAACACTGCAAGTTTTTACACATGAACAACGATGATCTTATTTCAAAGCATTCAAAGGCAGCCAAAGTGCAACAATGACCAGCGAAAAATCTGATTGGTAAAAAAACGGCATTCTTTCATTCAAATTTTGTACTTTTTTTTATTTTAAAAAGCATCCAAAAAATTGAGGACTTCTAAAACAACTAAAACAACAGACAATATCTAAACAGAATATATTCTGTTGAAAACAACTCCAAAACATTGTATTCTCAAAATTTCTATTGAATAAAATAAAGATTCAGTACATCACATATATCTGATACGTTACTAACGTCAGAAATCTGATAATTATTGTCAAATCATCAAATCAGAATAATCAGATATTCAAATTTAATACAGAAATCAAATCACTTTCAAATTCAATGCATTAACAATATGTTGACAAATTCTTTTCTCTTCAATTATGTTGTGATATTAGATTATAAAATTTAAAATTTAGACATGATGATACTTGATCATAGTGTTTTATCTGGTTAATGTCAACATAAGCTTGGTTTATTTGTACTGAATCCTAGTTTAGAACTGATGCAGGGGGGGTGCATGCTATTCTAAATACAGACCATGGTTACTCAACCATGTGTACGTTTAACTGATAAAGAAGGTAAATAAACGAAAACCAAAAAACAGAAAAAATAGGTTTCACCGTCAGCACTTAGGTAATTAATGTCAAGAACGCTTGATGACTTTTTGTCTGCGCCTGGTGGTAAAAGTTCTGAAAATAGGATTATTACCATAGCAACATCACTGTTTCTAGGCAACAATCTAACTACAATAGTATTATAACCATAGCAACATCACTGTTGCTAGGCAACAATCAAACTACAATGTCTATGAAAACTATCAAATTACAATCAAATAGTTTCAGATGATTTTTCTGGAATTCATACAAAATAACTTAGTTTTCAATGTATGTCATCATACTGTTGTTTATCTGTCATTTATAAAATCTGAGCTAACTCAAATTCCTGAATCAACTTCATTATGTTAGTAACAGGTGTAAGTAAAACATATTAAAACATTTCTTATTCTTCTTTTTCACATTCAAAACTTCCTGTAATTTTTAACATTAAACTACACTTAATAAAGTGTAATAATTTTAAACCAAATTGAAGTTTAACTTCACATCTATGTAATAACACATATAACCACATTGTGTTCCGATATATCACCTAAAATTGAACTGTGCAGCTCCGTAACATATATATCATGCCAACAGTGGGGAATCAACACCATTTATAATATTTCTGGATTTTTATATATATATCTAAATTAGAAACTCAATTTGATATTCAATTCTCATAATGCTAATCAACACTTTTTGAATCAAATTAAAATCTTCCTATATCATCTGTATTCTATCAACTAACTGATAAAAAACCAAAACGTACTACCCGGTATGATATATAACGACTTCCTAACAGAGACCATATCATGTAATGACTATAATTTGAATACAATACACACAACAGAGACCTACTATATTGGAAGAGTTTTAATTCTTATTGATCTAAATATACTTGGAGTTTGACAGAATCTAATTCCATTCAAAATCCTGTATTTTGCCCCAATTTGATTTCAGATCTCCCTCCCTCTCTTCAGATTCTTTTTAAAAACTGTTTTACTTCCTTGATTGACACACAAAAAACTACCTACATAACTACTAATAGTTTTAGTATTAGAACCTCCTGGGCTACTATCTTAGTAAACAAACCTGACCTAAATATCCTGTAGCCAGAAAGATAAAATATGCAACACCTTCTACCCAACGTACCTAACCTTTAAAATCAAAGCCAAGACTTAAATCATATTTCCCCAATGCAAGGACGGCGTAAATTCCCCCAAAAGTATAACATATAAAACCTAAAAGCCCCAGTGATTGTAGCTGAACCCTGACCCATCAGCTGAACCCTGACCCTTCAGCTGAACCCTGACCCCTCAGCTGAACCCTGGCCCCTCAGCTGAACCCTGACCCCTCAGCTGAACCCTGGCCCCTCAGCAGCATTGGTACATGCAGCACCCAATGGTCATGACTGTGTGGGATGATTAATTGATTATAAAAAGGAGTGATTTATTAAAGGTTACAGAAGCTTGACTGTATTGATATGGTTCCTGGAGAATATAATTTATTTTTTACATTTTTTATAATAATCGTTGCTGGATATACAAGTCTTTTTCACAAAAAAAGAAATCCTACAGGATCTTGTTGAAGGATTATCAAAGGAATGTTTGTTATTTTGTTTATTTTGAAAGAGTGTGTAAACTCGGTGGGTGTGGGGTGATTAATTATTCATTAAAAGGAAGTATTCATTAAAAGTTATAGAAGCTTGTCTGTTTCAAAATCGCTTCAGCAGAACAACTTTTGTTTTACATAAGACTCCCGTACCTGGTATTACATTTTTACATAAGATTTCCTCCCGTACCTGGTATTACATTTTTATGATATCATTGCAGGATATACAAGTCATTCTCCAAATTCATTCCCTTATTGTCTTGTTGAGTGATTATTTAAAGAATGGGGTTATTGTTTGGTAAAGGGTTGTATATTACAAAAGACACATATTTTATTTTTGGGGATCACATATGAAATATACTATACCTGCAGATTTCATTCCAGTATCGTACAGTGACATAAAAATATTTTTGTGCCTTAATGTCCAAAATTACAACAAAGTGAAATAGTATGTAATCTAAGGGAAAATGTGTCGTGAAATGGAGATGAACTCAGCAGCCGTTTTGGATACATGTGCAAAAAGACAGTTACTATACTACAATCTGATGGTGAAGGTGATAACAGTATTATATCTAGTGGAGAATAGATTTAAAATGAGAGAAAAGGTACTCGAGCAACAACACTGAGGCGTCTGCCCACTACTGGTCTGTATCGTAATGGCATTGGCAGTGTTCTAATAACAAATATTGGCATTTGTATACAATACACGGCCATAGAGAAGTTTTAAGAAGTTGATTCTAGCAGTAGCTATAATACAAACAATACACAACAGGTAATTTTCACAGAATAAAATTTGAAAAAAATATCTGAATCAACACATATAACTTTAAAACTATCTATCTTATCTGTTTTCTACGACACTTGTGTGCTTTACTGCCCAGAGATCTTTACTGCCCAGAGATCTGTCAGTAACTCCATACTACACAGGGTCAGTGTATTTCAGTAGTAGTACTGTGTTAGGTAACAGGTGCTTGTCCTGTACAAAAAATACCGGCACAGACTGATCATTTTCTCCTATTTTTAAAATAATAAAGGCTCAGTTTGTTTTGAACACAAACAGGAATGCTTAGTGGAAATTAGTTAAAAATCCCTATTTGTGTTCAAAAGAAACTTAGCCTTAATAATTCATATCAAACTGATGAATCTTAATCCGAATGTTGTTAAAATAACTTACAAAAGTGCTCAATTTTTTTTGTTTTTGCACATTTTAAACTGTTTTAAAAATTACAGCACTTTAATAAATCAAGTCAGTGAAACTAACCTGTTTGTAAAGTTTAAAGAATTTTAAACAGCGACATATTTGTTCATTCAATAAAGCGGTGATTAAGCACATTGAATATGCTAATTCTGAACAAAGTAGATTTCTAGGCTTGTATATATATCTGTCAACATCTTATTTTGATTTCAGAAGATCTTTTTGAAAGGGCGACCAATATTTTCAAGCCAAATTTTATGTTTAAGTTTTTATTTATATGACGAAATCCAATACTCCTCTTAATAAAAGTTCACTTGAATGATAAGTAATATTTGGTACAGGTTTAATTTTTTTTTTTTTTTTTTTAAAAAGATCAAATTTTATTGCCATGATTAGTTATTTTAAAGGGATATATACTTATTTTTGACATAAATAGGAAATGGAAGATAGATATTTTTTATTCTAGAATTCTAGAACTTTTTGTTTTAAACCATATTCAATTCAAACTTCATTTAAGGACAGTTAAAATTTGACAGTTAAATGAAAAAAAAAAGAAAAAAAGTTACATAAAAAAATAGGGTATATATATATAAACAAGAGGCCCATGGGCCTTAACGGTCACCTGATTTATTTATACAGAGAGTTGATTTTGTTTTTAACATGAACAGAAATATTATTCAAAGTGACAAAAAACAATAAAACCACCTTACTCAATATCTAGCATACAGATTTCAGACTAAAAAGGATTTGAAACTAGCACCTACAGCCCTTGGGGGTAGGGCTGGCTCAAAATTTTCAAAGTATCAAACTGTCAATTCAAGGTTATAATTCCAATCAAGTTATTAACATGTAATATT